GTGTAATATGTGTAAAAAAGTAAATTGTTGATGTAATCACCAAATAAGAAAATCAAAGACCCCCCCTCCCCCCTATAGTGCTTACGTAATAATATTTGACCGGCCCCTAATACCCGCGTCTTCACACATTATGGGAAACGCGTGACAAAAATTTGTTTTGAATTAAAAATTATATACCCGTTACAGTTACGAGGTGCATAACTGGTTAGATTAAAATTATTTTGGTAAGTGATTAATTATTCCAATTAATTTTCTTTTATGATACATACACTAGATACAAGCAGTGTTCGTCTAGAGATTGCCTACCCTCATCCCTTGGGTTGTATTTTCGATCCCTGGCGGCTGGCTGTGAAACAATGGAATTTCTGTCTATGTGCGCAGTTAACACTCGCTCGTATTAGGCGAAAGAAAACATCGCGAGGAAGGTGCTTTAGACCCTAAAAGTCGACGGTGTACAAACTACTAGGCACCGAAGGTTGGTCACCTACTTGCCTATTAAAAGTGATCACAGAACATATACAGAAATGTAAGGCTCAGTCCTAAAAGGTTGCGCGTTTGATATAATGATACTTGAGGTACTAGTTTAATACTACCTGTTTTAATTGCCCTAGCGCGGAAGTCTGTAGATTGATTTCCCAACCATAAAAAAGTGTGACTCAATATACGGTTAGTCTTAAATAAAAAAAATAATTTAAATGCGTTTCCGATACTGTAGAGTAGTCCCGAAGTATGAAATATAAAACAATATTACTATGTACATATTTTAAGTTTTAAGAATTTCGTTTAATTCAATAGTTATGTTTGGATATACAAAATTCCGCGGCATCTGAAATAACTTTAAACCAAATATAACTTCATAGAACCATAAATGCCTTCTATAATTTTATCCCTCACTTCAAAAATGGAGGAAACCCGACTGAGACGTTTCTTCCATAAAAGTGATGATTATCCGATATTTTTGTTTGTTCTATGACGTTAAAGTTTGTATTTTTAAAAGGACTAGGATATAGACCACAGCCCATGAACAAAAAATACTGTGAAATGACCCAACCTGAATTACTTAGAATTACTATATGAAAATACTCTAACTACTTTTCTGAGGTAAGGATACTATGAATGGACTTTCTTAATGGGGAATTTCGACTAATTATTAATTAGCTTTTTATAATTATAATATTAAAAATAAATTGAAAAACCTAGTGCCGTAAAAATGTCCGAAGTCGTCAAATTTTTAATTCACACTTGCAGAAGATATAGGTCATTTATTACTGTAGATTTGTGTCATTCTTTTGACAATATAAGATACTTTACCCGTAAACGCGTACATATTTCCAGCGGAGCGGTCGAAAGCCAAGGGTCGGAACCCTACCCCTACACCCATATACCCTAAGGTCATTGTAAAATGTACGGCAACATTTCAAAATATTATTTAACACGGACAATAATTTTTATAATTATGCCGTCCAAATATTATAGTTAATATTTGTGTAATTAAATATTTATCGAAATTTCAGGATTTACCAATTCTTACTGTGTAAGATCAGAGAATAATGTACGGCAACTTTTTTTTACATAATGTTACTAAATATTACCGTTGTACATTATAGCGTTCATTATAAATGGTAACAAATAAAAATATTATGATAAAAATATATGAAATTTCCAATTTAGATACTTTTCAAATTCCTAGATAATATGGGGAGTAAATTTTCAGATTATTTTATTTTATATTAACAATATAAATAAACAAAAAACCAGATGCCGTAATTTTACTCCAGATTATTCTTTACAGCTGATAAAAACTTCGACGACTTTGAGGTGTCCCTTAAGTCATTAATAACTGTACATTCTGAGTATACTACATAAGGCTGTAAAGTATATTTACAGCCTTATCGTAACAGCAGAGAGAGGTAAAGGAAAATATTTTTAACAAAATATATATAATACAGGTCCCAAAGTTATGAAATGAAGGGAAAGTACTTAAATATCCAGATAGGGTATTTTATAAAAGAAGACTTTATTTATTTATAAAGTTAGTAATCCTCATTAAAGATTTTTAAAACTATTGTTCTGGAAATCGAACCGGCTTAAATTAAAAAACACCCTAATTTTATGATCCATGGAAGAATGGCCAAAACCTAATAACTTTTCTAAAGTAACAGACTCGTAGGGATTTTTAGCCGAATAGATAATAATGTTTTTAATTTGATTAAAAAGATATATTCACGCTGTTCCTTCTTTTAAAATACTATGTTACTTAAGAAGAGTTATTAGTTTTTGGCCATTCTTTGATTGGCATCTAATAGTTTTTTTTAATTTAAGTCGTTCGATTCCCAGACGAGGCAATAATTTTTAAAAAATCTTTGAATGCAGAATTAATAACTTTTAAAAATAAAAAAGTCTTCTTTTAGTAAAATACCCTATCTAGATATTTAAGGTACTTTCCCTTCATTTCCCATAACTTTGGGACGCCCTGTATTGGTAGGCGGTGGTAGCGACTATGAAAGTGTACGGCATTTACTTTTATTGAAGATTGTCTAAAGTATTAATAACCTGTGTTATTGCCGTACAGATAAAAGTCACCGGAAAATGACTCTTTTCTGAGAAAAGTAATTTGCCCCATACACCTATGTTTCCACAAAAATGTACGGCATCTGAAAATGTATATTTGTGAAGTACTCTCAAGATCATTTAATTTTTTTGATTCATATCATCTCACCTATTCTTCAAACATATGTTGGACCCTTGCTTTCGACGCTCCCTGGGAAATGTACGGTTTACGGGTAAAGTATGTATATTTCCAAAGAAATCACACAAATGCCGTACAGTAATAAATGACCTATATTCTTCTGCAACTGTCGTCGAATTAAAAATTTGCACCGACTTCCGGCACCATCACTTTTGTACGGCACTAGGTTTTTCGACATTTATTTTTAATCATCTATACACTTATAACAAAGCCGTACATTAATAATTAGTCGAAATTCCCCATTGTAATGAGAAAGTCCATTCACTCACGTACTCACATTACCGCTCAGAAATGAGCATAGTCTCAGAGCTATTTTCAGATATAGTAACACCTTCTACGGTTATTCAGTTGGGTCATTTCACAGGTATTTTTTGTTCATGGGCTTTGGTCTAATAGCAGGAAAGTGGAGAAATGACTTAAAAGCTTGAAGTTAATAAATCTTGATTGTTTCTCAGACTCGTAACGAACTTGAACTTATTAGTAAAGACTAAAGTATCCAATTAGTTCCACCGTATAGCACTTTTTTTTTATATAACCTGCTCTAATCTCGACAAGTGGAACCCATGTGAAGCGCCGAAAAAGAGGAAGGCATCTTAATACCATAAGTCCTACTCCTTGATTCGTCGGTACAAATAACCACGCATATTGAGCTAGTATTGAGAGAGAGACTAAGATGAACCAGTCTAATTTCGAAGTAACTCACACAGACAAAATACAATAACAATTTGACAGATGTAAGTGTTTAAACTTAATCTTGTCACATGAAACTACAAGGAACTATGACTTAGGGTATGTTCGATATAACTGGACACTTAAGATAGTAATTATATATTAACGTTTCTTCTTACTTTAATTTGAACCTATATCATTTTTTGAAAATTTTCAATATATAATTTTTCAATTCAACAGAAAACTATTATTGATATTATCGATTAAAAAATCTATATTAAATTAACTGTCAATTGATTAATACTACAAGAAATAATTAAATTTTAAATGTTTTTTTAAACTTAGTTATATCAGCGTTAGATTAATTTTTATTGATCAGATAAGACTGCGAGTACCTTACCTCGAAAACGCCAGTCTCATAAATATACGATTTTATATATATTTCTAGACTGTTTACGTTAGAAAATTTTGAAATGAACTATAATACTATTATATCGGAATACCCTTCATGTCAACCTAGACTACAATTACGTAATATAAGTGGGCTTAATCTATGTTATATATTTATAAACTTCATTAGGGAATATTTATAAATCCAATACATGATAGGTCTACCGAGTTGAGGTCTAGATCTATTTAAGACTATCGCAATAAACCGTAGCTTACAGAAGTAGTAAAAATTTTAGTGCTTACCTTGACCTAGGGTTTGCGAAATGAACTTGAGACACGAGGGAGTATCGCAAACTAACATATACATTCCGTTATTACTTCACGTACATGGCATATAGTATAAACCTCCGGGTCAGGGATTTGGTTAGACAAATCGTTAATAATAAGTTCGGATTAGACACCTATTTTCATTAGGCAGGGGATTTCCGACAACATATTAGATTCGAAACTAAGGAACTATTTTGAAAATATATATGTATTTAAATACTGTTTGTCTATATATTGGATACCCTGTAATACGTTAAGATGCAGACTAAAGGACTGATCATTTTATAAGTAGTTGATGAAACCGGTGCTATCCATACCAAAACAAATGTTATTTCTCCGGGATAAATTAAGTTTGAGCTTAATTTAGATCAATATAGTAACTTGTATAATATAAATATTAAAATATGACTTTTAGCCTTCTTATTATTGTATGTATTTACAAGCTACTTAACCCGATTGAACATATTGTTAACGTTGTAACGGATCACGGAAAATTGTCGCTCCGCGAATGTAACCAATTAATTAGGCACGTAGAGGCGCACGGTACGTATAAAGTATAGAAGTGCATAGTGAGTAGTTACCTGGTTGTGTCGCGGTGCTCGGGCGGGCGGGCGGAAGCTGCACTCGGTGGCCGCGGCAGTGCACCCCCGGGCGGGGGGCGCGGGGCGAGGACGGCGAGCGCGTGCGCCAGCCATGCCGCGCCGGCCGGCCGGCGATTCAGTCTGCCGACGCGACCCGATCTAAGTGCACGTACATTACGCTACAAAACGCGGCACCCCACACGATCGAACGTGCTTTTTTTTACCCAGTGACAGATACGAGAGGGCGACCTCTCTCAACCGACAAGATTGCTTCACAAGTGGAAATGCCGTCAAGTCTCTTCGGAGAGCTCGGAGGTGGGCTGGTGGAAGACCAGCGCGCGTTCCAGCTCGCGCTCGAGCTGAGCATGCTTAACTTTGGCGAGAGTCTGCCCTCCGCAAACCCGCTCGCCAGTCCTCTGGGATTCGCGCCGCCCCCGGACGATCGCACCAAGAAATCACAGAATATGACTGAATGCGTGCCAGTACCATCTTCAGAACACGTCGCAGAAATCGTTGGTAGACAAGGTAAGATTTGAGGTTATGTCGCCGGTTGAATAGTGAAGACGTTTTGTACCCCTGCACTATTTGATAGCTCACTCCACCCTTTTGTTAGGGCGCAGGACGCACGTGCGATTTAGGTTATATTCGATTAGCCATTCGCCGGCTGATGAAAATATACGTTATAAGTGTGATAGGTATTTTATCGTCGCTGCATTCTGTTTGTTTACCCTCACAAATATGTCGTGCGATTGGCGTTATGCGTCCGACTGCGGCGTAGTGCATTTTGTAGTATACGTAGACAGCACGTAGAATGCAGTGATTGTATAAATATTAATGTGTAAATAATTGCATGTCGCTAGTTCCCATGCCTGTATCTTCATCCATAACGTGTTAGCCTGTAAAAAGTGGGATCCACTAATTAAAAGTTACCGTTAGCAAAAAATGATCCCAAGGGATGTCGGTAGGCTTTTTTCGAGTGGGTCAGGTTGAAAAAATTCCGACAAAGCTGCCTTATCTGAGACTAATTTTAGTAAATGTGCATTAGATTTCAACGAAAAAAGTTAATTTCGTGGTCAAATTCTAAGTGGAGCAATTTAACTTGGATGCAGTGATTTTTTGTAAATTTTTCTCTACCTACACGAGTCACTTACACTGCTAAAATATATTCTGGTGATTGAGATTGATTCTCATAGTTCATTGTAGTTTTTTGAACAATATTATTTTAAAATATTATATTTAGGTACGTTTTAGACATTTTTCAAATAAGATACTAGACACAATTATTTTCTTGCATAAGTATTATTTTATTTATATAACATTTGACGAAAATCGTTTTACAAAAATATATTCGATATTTTGAAATATATAATTTAAAATTAATAAGTTTAGGTACGTTTTAGGCATTTTTTAAAAAGGATACTTTAAACAATTATTTTCTTGCATAAGTACCTATTATTTTATTTCAATTACATTTGACGGAAATCGTTTTACAAAAATATATTTGATATTTTGTAATGTATGATTTAAAAATATTAAATTTAGGTATTTTTTAGACATTTTTTAAATAAAATACTAGAAGCAACAATTCTTTTCGTGCATAGTTATGTTATTTCAATTTCATTTGACTAGGTACATTACTTTCGGAAATTTACATTATATTGGATATAAGTCGTAATTTTGTTTATCTTGCTAGTTTTGATTCACATATAGAAGACCATAGATATGTTGGTATACATGTCTGTTCGTGCTGAAGTCTTGACAGATTAATAATATGCCCGTGCACATATGTTAATAAGGTATCGAAATAATGTTGCAAGCCTACACGATAAAAAAGCAAATAATGAATTGCATGACAGAATAGGTTTTGATACATAATAATAAAACCTTTTTAACCAACTTAAATAAAAAACCGAATGAGTTCGATGTATTACAAATAGTAAATACTTTGTTAAAAACCATTATTTGACAATCTAAATTTATATAAATATTTTAAGTTTGGTATGATATTCACGCTCGCGCTGGCTGAAATCGTAAAATAACAAAGTGCAACCCTGTCCATGTGAGCCGCAAGCATCGTTCCCAATAACACAACCAACAGAGATCGCCCTTCATTGCGACAAAGTTCCATGAACAGAAATAATAATGTAGGTTAGTCTATATTTAGATGCATGTTTAGACTGTTTCAATGTTCTCGGTACTTGGTTATTTTTTTAATTTAAGGCTCGGTCCAGCTTTATTTCTATTGAAAAAACTTATTATGTATGAAATTTCTGGTCCTGTCTGGACAAAAGAAAAATCGTCCATAGAATTTATTCCTTCACAGTCCCACCAAAGTACAATAACGTCTGGAAGAAATTCAATACATAAAAGTTCTTTCATGTGGAAGACTTTTTATGAAGTTGTTCGAGTACCTGTGCTTAGCTCATGTTCGTATGCGATAAACGCCTTTTGTCATTATTTAGTGGTATTGCATCAGAATTAAAAAGGTAAATAATATAAGCACGGTTTCGCCACTTAATTCTTTTTTTCTGTTAAGATTAGAAATGTAATTTTTTTATTACGCAATAGTTCTATACGTTTAACACTGAATTAATAAATAAATAAGTAATATTTAATTAAAATTAATATGTATTTGGTTTTTTAATTAGCTTTCGTCACTGCAATAAAACTAAAATTGGCACTTATAAAGAATTAATTTAATACGACAATGAGTTCGATTTCGCAAACAAAAGGCTCAAAAACCGTTAAAATTCAGCACAACGTGTAATTACGACCTTATAACTAAAATTATGACATGAATATAAAACACATCCTTTGAATAATTTTAACCGATTCAATAGTAGGCTTTAACACTAAGATAATACGGCGATAAAGACAAAAATGTTTATTCGAATGACATGTGTTCGGATGGTGTTTAGCTCAATACACGAAAAGGAGGTTGTTTAAAATTCTCGAGTTTACCCGCGGACACGGCGTGACGTCACGTCCGGTTGTCAAGTCTCGACAATCGATCCTCGATTCGATGTTCGATTGTCCCTGAAGTCGATCGGATCCTGTCGGCACGTTTGTTGTTTTGATTTGTAGTGGCGTGCCGCTTTGTTTTCCATCTTGTAAGTTCGGCTGGGTCAGTACATTCACGAAACATCTGCTTAAATCACCTCAATAACTAGCATTTCTTATTTAACTTCCTAACTAATTAGAATATATTTTAAGTGGCTCATAATGCTACGCGTCTGGTATTTAAAGTATGGTCTATGAACATAACGTTCCTAAACGTATACGATGAGTAATTCATCCCTGTCCGTCACAAGCCGGTTCTAGTCTAGGACCGGTTCCGCATCAATGACTGCCAGCCCGACATCTCCCAAATTTACTTTTTATCCTTTAACTTTTAGTTACGTTGCCACCTCTTAATTACTTAGAATTAGTTATATTGTCTTTTTAACGATAGTGGAATTATTATTTACAAAAGACTTTATGTGCATTCTTAGCTAAGCTGTAGTGTCTTTTTCAATTTAAAGAAAAAAAACATGTGTGTGTACTTATGTACACGCGTTAAAAGTTATACTTCTTTGGCGTAACAAGATAAAAATCTGTTTAAAAATTATATCATTCGCCTTTTTCTACGTTTGTAGAAAAAAGTACACTAACAATAGAAAAAAGGTATTTAATACATTTAAAGTTTTATTATAACGCATTATCTAGTTAAATAAAGTTTATTTAAATATCACAAAAATAAATCTGCATAATTAAAGAAATTGACACTTTTTATTTTAAAATGTTGACTATGCTACCTTCAGGGTGTCGGTTTTTTGTGACGGTGTGTGCGCGCATCGTATACTCTCATAATTTTTCCCTAATGCGCCAAAATAAGTATAACTTCAAAAATATTAAGTTAGTTTTTTCCCATGGGTAATAAGCCGAGTTAAATAAAACAAAACACTCGCCTGGGGGATGTACTTAGGCCACAAACATTGGCTATGCGGTTGGATAGTGAGAGGGAATCAAGATTTGCAGTGTAGCTCAGCGTGCGTTCCGGTCGACGCCACCACAGTCAGGGTCAAGGCTTTGACTTCTGCTCACTTCTGCACGCCTAGTAATAGGGACTCGTGCTTTCTTTGATTGAACGGAAATGCCTTAAGCGATTTGTTTATTTATTATGGGGTTATTTTTAGTATAAAAACTTTTGTGTTGATAAAACGTTAAGTACCGAAAATGTTAAGTAATTTTTTCAAATCTTTGTAGTTAATAAGCCAGGTTTATTAATTTTATGAGCAACAAATTGATTGTTAACTATTATTACTTTAACAAGATTACACAAATCTCTTCCCGTTGACAATTTTTGAATGAAACTACTGTAGTAAAAAATAAACGAGCATATGTCCTGCCCGAGACGTCCCGAAATTCCATGGCCCCATTTTTTGTGTATCTTGACAGATGCATTCTGGGACGCCGCTAACCGCATCTTGCATCCCTATCACGCGTTCGGAAATAAGATCTACGGATGCATCTAAGACGGTGAATTTGAGGTTTATTTTCAGATGTATCATCCTGTCCCTGTCGCTCTCTGTGGCGCCAGTTTTGGGAACAGGTCGAGTTGGTGCGCTCCTGTTTGCTTTGTATATTAGTGTTACAAAACACAACGTAGAATAAAAATCTCTTAACAACTAACCCTACATTTGTTTTTGATCTGCAAATGGGGATTGCGAAAGATTCTGTGTGACACAGCGCGAGGGCACCCCCACGTCTGCGAAACTTAGGGATCCTAATGAGTAACTTCCTAATTGCCGCGGCAGCACGAATAAACCCATGCTCCGAAGCAAAAATTGTCTTCTACGTTTAATTATGAACTTTCAGCCCTTTTGTATCTGAGTTTGAAATCGAGTGCCAGACGACTCGCGGCAAGTACTTGCGGACGGGAATGATTATTTATTATACAGTTATTGAGTCTTAAACGTCAATATGGTGCTTGGGGATATGAGATCGTATGTAGTTGAAGTTTAGATTTATTTCTCTTTAAATGAGTCGCTGTTAAAGTGTTTGTTGGTATGGTGTTAGTGAGCGTATTATAAAGCGACGAGTCGATATGCTCCTCGCACTAATGTTGACAACAATCCATCTCAGGCTGTCAGGCGCCGCTGCGAATTAGACTCACTCCCATTTCGATTTACTCCGTAGACTATAATAAGTTATCCTTCGGGTTTCTTCATTATTCTGCAGCAAATGTGGCTTTACTTTTTTACAAAACTATAGTAATTTCTGTTCGAGATTAAAGTATTTGTCGCGGAGCGCGTTATTGTAATGGAAAAAATAGTTGTTCAGTTTCTTATAAAGGTGTAATGACAGGATACGATGTTAATGCCGTCGAGTCAAAGTCCGTAGAACGCAGATGTGCGAAAAGTTGTTGGTCAAAGAATGTGCCCTGCCTAGTTGGTGGAAGCGAGTCATGTGGCTTTACTACTCCAATTGATATTTAACAATGCCCTGGCTAACTAGTTTTGGTTCACACCAATTATCTGTCATGTATTAAGAATAAAACCGTTTAAGAATGATTTATATAATTGTACTGTTATCGAGCGCTGTAATTTAAATTTCAAGACGAGTTACTCTTTGTACCTACGTTAATATATGTTGCCCGTTAAATATTTGACTATAAATTGTATTACAAGTTCGTGTTGCATCTTATCGGTTAAGTTAACGTTAACTTTGCCATCTGCTTATAACCGTCTTAACGATAAAGTGTCTTGCAACGGGCGCCACACCTGTTCGTCTAACTGTCGAATGTCGGAAAAATTTATTGATAGCATACCTAATGCATGCATTCATAGAAAAATATTATTATTTTTAACAGTATTTTGGTAGTACATATTTCATTATTACGATTAAATTCATTTAACCATCACCCTAAATCAATTATTTTCTTATAGTAATAGCATTGTTTCTTGTCACATTAGTATTTCATTATAATATATCTAATCCGCAATGACATGCTATATATAAAAGTAAAATTCTGTATATATCGCGAATTAGTTGCAAATTTAGTAGCACATACGAACAAAACGAAAGGACTTCCTGATATTAATTCGTTACCACATTAATCGATTAAAAATAAAACACATATAGCCTGTTATTATAAAACAAAATCCATTGTGTATTAAACCGTACATTAACGTGCAAATTACTTCCTACATACGTGGTTAAATTACACCATTGACTTTTAAATATTTTTTTTTATTTTCATATTCTACGTGCATTTGACTTGTGTGAATATTGTTGTGAAGTATGAAAATTAATCTCAAACTGAAACGTCAGTTGTCATACATGAAAGTAAGAGTGTTCGAATTGGTGCGTGTACGCGCTGCGTATGCGCATCGTCGATCAGCGAAAGGGCAATGACAAAGTGGATGACAGCTGCGTTTTACGTTTTTAACGTGCGTTTAGGCAACGGTCACCTAGTCGCTCTATTGTTGTTATAAGGTATTCGTTTTTCGTTAGGGTTGATTCTAACTTTGGATTACCCTTTCATTACAATTCACATTTATAGAGTTGTTTTCACGAACTTTTAAGTTATAATTAACTAAAAGCATTGTTTTAGGTTAATATAATTTATAACTTTTGGAGCATTATTTAAATTTAAATTATATTTTAGGTATTTTAAATTACTAGTAACTTTTGGAATTATTACGAAAAGTATTAGTTTATTCGTATCTAAATTTATCATTAACAATTTCTAAACAATATTCTACACTCCGTTGAAGGCCTAAATATAGGGTCTAAGCAAGTATAAGTTTATCGATGTATTTACTATTATTTGGTACGTATACAACTTATTATGCTAACTTTCTAAACATCTACGTATTATAATGCCCAAGTGAAATCAATCGTACATTGTTCCGATTAAACTATTAATCGCGTTTTATTCCTCTGCTGTTTAAAATAAATTTGTGTCATTTTGATTATACTAGGAAATAAGTTAAAGACTCATTAATGAACAGAACCGAGTTTAATAGTGATAAGGGTAATTATTTTTTGTATGGCAAGACCAGGTAACGTTTTTGGGTCATGATGATTGCGGAGTAATTTGTTTGTCACTGTTATCTTAGCTTCACAGCTGTCGCATACAAGCTTTCTTTAATACTGATAACTCGGCTAATACTTTAAAAACACGTTTTATCGATTATAAATTATGAAGTTTGAAAATATATTAAAATTCCCAGAATAAATTTAGTTTTTAATAAGAACCGATTCTAGTAAATGTAACGGACGTCGGGTTATCACCGGCGGTTCAATAACTTAAGAAAATCAAGTAGTTACTCAATGAAGAGCCGATTTTAACGCATTTTGAAAGTCACAAAAGAATGTTATCTGTATTGTTAAATGCTTTGTATGGAAAGGTTTTGTTCCAATCGCTTCGAGCTGTTATTATGTTGGGTTTCTTTCGTTTCTTGTAAAAGCTTACCTGCAGTTAAATTCTACCTGCACCTATCGCTAAATTAAATGGTGAGGTAGTGTAACGTTTATCAGGATCTTTCTAAATAGTTAATTTAAAAAGAATTACTTTGGAGCCAGTCAGAGTTAAAGAAACAATTCAAATTCTACGCTAAAACCAGGGTCACATACATTTCATAGAGGTTAAAAAGTAAACAGTGGGTGGCGGTAAGGCGATATTTCACTCGTGAAAATGTAAAATGCCCGATATCGCCATATCGAGTTGCAGTTCGATGCGTGCCTTTAGATTTTCGTCTCGCATGCTGGTCCATTATTCCGCGTCATTAATTATTATTGAATACCCGTTTTCGCTGAAAAGCGCATAGACCACCTGCCATAAGGTAATTAAAGATCGAGAAAAGGAGTCTTGTACAAGTTGACCTTCGTTATGACGAGTATATTTATAGATTAACAAATATCCAAGAACATGTATAGCGGTTTGCACTAAGCGTTCCATGTCAGTGGTCCCTCTAAAGTCAGTTGTGCGCCATCTGTTGAGGGGTGTTACAAACAAATGTTGATATTCTGATGTATTTTTTATTAATAGTTATAACAATTTTATTACTGACGTATTCTTCTGTTACCTTCTTACAGGGACATACATTTAAATATGTTAACTGAACATTTCCTAATATGATCATACTAATATTAAACTCCTAATGTTTATTTGCCTGCAGTAATAAAATCGTATAGAAGTAATAAAATTTACATCTGTTGATCATAATTCCCACTTAACTGCTATCATACAAACGTATGAAAACATAATTTTTGTTATACATTCATAACTTGTGAATACATATAACTTATGTATATAGCGTTTTCACGAATTGCGTCGCCGCCAACATCTGCCGCGTACACCTGCCGATCGTGGACTCTCAAGTTTTTACAGACGCACATTTATGTGAACCTGGTATGAAACATCCATTCAGAACTATACGTGCATACGTGGCTTGCTTTAATGACATAAATACATTCAAAATATAGCATACATTCATTACGCACTGAGTATTGACACCTCGGGCTTAAAATACTTGAGAATGGCACACGCATCGAACCTGTAATTTGGGTGTTCAGATAATTGTAAAAAGCGCCATTACCCCAATCAATACTCGAACTAAAACGTGACGTTTGCACTTAATCGATTATTTCAAAATGGATACATTTAGAACGAGTATTAAATTAAATAAACTATAAAACGATTATATCACGGGTTGAGGCGCTCGAAAATCGAGAGCTGCAGAGCGGCATTCCACTGTAATAATCCTTAGAATCGGTTCGACGCATCGGGAACATCGATCCTTTTGCGACACTCCGTTTGATTTCAGCTATACATTCTTTATCTTCCTATACTTTAAACATTTACGCGTTAATAATACAACTGATGTCAATATTAAATTGACATTTGTCACATTTAAAGCGATCTTTTCGTTTATTTTGAAAGTTGGATTTGATTATATTGATGATATTATGTTAAATGGCTACTTCGCCGGCGGTATTGAACAACGATTTTATTATAATTGGCGAGTCGGTCAACGCTTCTTGGAAATTGTTTTTTATTCGCAACTTTAAACCGATCTCGTTTTTGCGCGTACGCTCGCTTTGTTCTCCGCCATATTGTTTTTAATGTTTAACGATTGGAAAATGAGTGACGACGAGAAGTAGTGAAAGTTGCGATTTGATATTGTCGCTTAAATGTGCCCTGTATTCTAAGTTAACCTAAATTTCAGTAAAAGGCTGGAAAGACTTAGATCAAGTGGTGACACAGAAACATACTTCTCTTAATTGGTGAGACCGATTCCCGCGGGAGACGGGTTTCTTCAGTCTTTCTCCATATTTCCAGAGCAGTCCTTTCTTAGGTCACCTATCATTTCTCCATCTGTGGCCAATTAATTGGGACCACCTTCGACAAACATGTATGAACTATAAATCACGTTTTTAATATGAGAGGGCGTTCACGTTGGCAACAAAGGCAATAAATATGCGATATCGATGTTCAAATATCGTACGTTTTGTCATTAAAATGCCGACAACATATTTTCTTATAAAAATCGTGGCAGATCGGCTAATTCTATATTCCTGTATGTTGAATGGTATGCTAGGGTTATCACAACCTAATGCCAGACTATTACAAGAATAAGTTAAAGGTCTGTAGGATGCGTCGTCCCTAGCAAACAATAATTCATAAAATATATCAATAATTTTATTTAAGCTTTGGACATAAAAAAAGTTTGACGCTAACGTATTAAATTGTGTATAAAAGAAAAGCTTTATAAATGTTATTTGTTTGCAAGTGGCAGCCCTGTTCGTTTTCCAAAAACCGAATTAGAAACCGATTTAATGTGACCTCTCTCGCGTACCTGCCGCCTAATAAATAACCATTGTATTTCACCCATTTGAGGTCATGTTGCAATGGTTTGAAGATGCCGAACTATTTATTTCTATAACAATTAAGATGTTTATCGTTTTAAGACGAAAAACTAATAACGTCATGCCTTCGATGAATAAAAAATGTAACATTTCCGACCATGAAATTGTTAAGTGGCCTCATTTTTCTCGCTTAAGCCATAAATGTCATAAACTCATAACTTTAAGATGTACTTTGTAAATGTTCGAAGCCTGTAGTACTTTTTACTACTATTTTTTATATAATAAATATCTATTAAATACACTTAATTTATTAATATATAAAATAAAACCGAAAAGGCTACCAGGTTATAATGATTACAAGGAATATTCTCTTGGTTTTGGAAATTGGTAACAAATATAATAAATTTGCTAAATAAGATAAGGATCGCATTATCCGTGTGATTAGTCAAGTCTGGGGTCGCGGTCACTGCGCCGTAGATCAAAGCTCGCCGACCGGTTGACAGATATTTTGATATTTTGCATACATGCTCTAAAATAATGTTCACACCGATGACTTTTAGGCTAAGAGCTAGCTGTTTAGGTATGTCAATATAATAATTATCAATTCAATGGAATAATAAACCGTAGTATTATAAAAAACTTGTATATATATCACATCCGTGAATTCAGGGTAATAATTTTGACGTCTGCCTATAACTTAATAAGTCAAGTGTGGTCTCATGATTATGATTTGTCGATTTAATTGCTTTAGAAGTTTGCAGCTCTTGGGCTATTAGTTCCCTGGTGGCCTGTTTTTTTAACAATGTGACTTGTAAGTGACTTTGCGCGGACGCAGTGAGGTGGTCGTCTCATATAGCTAGTAGGTAAATGCCATTTATAACGCTTCGATGGTTTGAATTAAGATGTCCTATGTTTTGTAATTTAAACATGATTTTTTATTTTTTTATTAATCAGGTAGGTAATTAATAAATTGTGACAACTAAATAAATGTATGTAGATGAATTAATTAAGACTTTTTATACGAGTACTGTTTTTAGAACAAAATTTTAAAATATGAAATAGAAACAGTATACCAGGAATATATAATATAACAGGAAATTTTATTAGATGCATAATTGTTTAAAAATGCTTCGACACTTGAACGTAATAATAACTAATATAATACCGGTCATACAGTCTAATAAAATACTAACAATACGTAAGCATTCTCACTGACCTACGAGCTACGGTGGCGTCATCACTTAAATTATCACTCGCACTTCATTGGAAAGTTTAAGAGTTTGCACTTTTACATTATGATTACCTGGTACTTATTGTAATGTATTTTTTATTAATGCCTTATTGTTGGTATCTTAAAATATGTGATTGCTTAATAAATGAACGTCAAGAGAATAAAAATAAAGAGATATTAAAACAATATGTTGGATAAAAAAAAGGGTGCGTGTACTTATGTACGCGCGTAAGAAGTTATAGTTCATTGGCATTATTAAAAATAGTTTTTGATTGCATGCAAAAATTTATTACAATTAAATAATCAAAGACTGGAAAAGGAGTCATTATAGTCAATAAAGTTCAGTTTACATTTAAAAAATTAAATAAATAAATATTTATTATTATTCTCTTACATTAAGTGTAACATAAATTCTATTATTATTCGAATGTTGTTTTTAAATTAATATGTCTAATGCCGTAGCATGTTCCGTGGGCAACTTCATTCTGTTAATTTTGTGTCACGGTGCGCGCGCATCGTAAAATTTCACTCTCATCAATTTTTCATAACGCGCCTAAAGAAGTATAACTTCAAAAACTTGAACTAAATAAAGCTAAGTAAAGACGTTAGTACGCCATCATGAAAATATATTCAATAAAGAGTAATTGGACCAGTACAATATGGTTAATTTCGTTAAATAGTGGTCACGTGGCGTGTATAAAATTCAAATAATTGTTTATGGTCCGATTAGGTTTGGTCGCGCCCTCCGTACCTACTGCGGATCTTAAAGCGGTCAATTCCCAGTGCAATGCACTCTGTTACAAAATAACTTAATGTCGCCGTCATCCGTTGATTTTTTGCATTATTTGTAACAATTAAAACCTCATTCGGAATCCGAAACTTTTTATCATAATCTGTACCTAATTAATTTTAAATGGATTTTATTGGAACGGACTATATTTTTAAAGTGTCAAAACTAACAATAACTATTATAAATTAACGAAAAAATGGAACAAAAATAATTTAAATTGAATTTATTATAAGTTTTCAAATAATTATGATACATGATGCTGTGTTTTATAGCGTTCGGGTGACCCCTGCGACCTACGATGACCTATAGCGAATTAATATAAAGCCGTCCATTCAAGTTCGCGACATGTAAAATAGCCTTGAACTAGTTAACTGGGCGGGAATAAATCAGAAGAGCAGACATGGCAACATCGATGGTGAAAAAAAACGCGCCAATTCGCCGGATCGCTTAGCCAGACGTATCATTATCTTATTATTCTAATACGCTAGTTTCGATTCTCGTTTCTCGTACGGTACATCCATTGTTTTAGGCAATATGCATGTAACAAATTAGCAATTATTAATCTGTGAACTGTCAAAACTTGACAAATGAATGATAGTCGTAATGATAGGTTAGAATTCAGGATAGCAAAACTGCAATGTGCAATTTATTTATCCAAATTAGGATTGTGTTTACGTAACTTTTGTATACAAAAAATAAACAAAATTCATTAAAAATAATTGGAAACCGATGACCAAGTGCACGTATTTTAACAGGAAGGAAATATGCAGTAGTAAATTTAAAAAGATTTAAACTAAAATAATCGTATATTTTTGTTAGTTTAATTCTTGGGTGGTATATGTAAGAATGATTTTGTTATATTGCGTCATTGCATCTGCACTCGCGGGTCACACGCGAGGTTCTTAATGACCTCAAATCGTAATCATCGGGTTGATTCACTCACAAAAAATATCGATATTAATCTTAATTCTCATGTTACGGAGTAACATTTTTTAGAAGAGAATTAGCGGATGAAATATACCGGACTTTTTGATTTGCTGCCCCATAAATTATATTTGAACGGTTCGGTGATTGATGTTATTTAAATAATATTATAGTTTGCTTTATCGAGCTTATTATATTTATTTATAATTGCTTTAATTTTTCAATGTTTGAATATGAGATTAAAAATGAAATTGGTTCGGGCAAATTGTATAATTTATTACAGGAATTACGAAATTCTGATTAATTGCTCGTAGGTGTCGATTTCTAAGCAGGAAAGCGGTCTCGAAACTGTTAAAAGTTAATTTGATTTTTGCCACAGGTAATACTGAACACGTTGCTGTTATTGCCATATTAAGATTGATTGTACCTAAGTAATTATTTGTATAGTTTAATGACAGGTTCTGCGATTCTTGAGCTAGGTATATAATTATGAATCATTGAGTTTAAAAAACCGCCAAAAGCTAATCTCCCAGCAATTAACCTATCAGTTCTGAAGGTCAAAATAAATAGGTTTCCTATAGGTAACCGTTAAATATTATATTTCATATATTTTATCATTTGACATTCATTTGTTAGTAACGGTTTAAGTATATATGAAAACAAAAGCGATGTTTTCTTTGCATTGTTGTCACAAGCAAGTTTTGAATCACAAAAGTGCTGCATGAAAAATGAAACTGTAGAACTGAAGTAGGGTTCCAATGTGTAATCGAAAGTGTTTTATTATAAAACAATATTTCAATGCCATTTCTACATATTTAAAAATTTAAGCGAAACTTATTCCTTTGTTTAAAATGGTATTTACTGACGTGATATTCAATCTTAACCATATAATAAGAACAAAAAGAAATAAACCCTGTCTCGATGTCATAATAGACAAACCTGCTATGCTCCCACACATCCATGGCTTCCCTAGTTTTGCGGTAACGAGCCGTGATAGACCGCTTCATTTGATATCTCTTACGCTGCTATATTCTCCTAGTATGTACTATTTATATGGCTTTCTACACCGATCCTGGTTTTTCATATAATAATCTTATTTATTTTATTAAAACAAAAAAAAAACAGTTGAAATACCCAAAACCTCCTTTCATTAAGAAAAAAGGAAACTCGCTTGGTATCATCGTTATAATAACAAAATTAGCTATAATAATGTAATCCACCCGCTGTAAATAAATGTTTTCCGAGACACAAGGCAGGACCACAAGTGATTGCTAGTGCTAACCAATAAATGTATAAACAGAGGTCGATCTAAGTTGAGTATTACGTGCATCCGGCGAGCTTTCGTCCGGTCTGCGCATACGCATTGTCCGCCGGATGTCTTGCGGTCGCAACTCGCACGCAATTTCACAACCTCTGCACTTCGTATATCTTGTAAGGAAATAAATCATCGGACCTAAAGACAAATATTATATTAAAATTTTTAACAGTTTAATATTAATTCTGTAGTTTTCGTTCTACTAAACCTATGACAGTACCCTATAAATAATTGTACCAAAAAAAGGATTGCTGTTACAAAAATCAAGTATCCTAATTCCAACAAAGGATATATGAATTATATATGCCACACGATATCAAGGTACAATGAGTAACGTGGAGGTCAAATTAAGCTTACTTGTTTATATTAAGCTGATTATGTAGTCCGCAATGGCAGTCTAAGCGGTGATGACCTCTAAGCAGACGAATGGGCGAAAACAATACGTGACTTCAAGGTCGAGGCGCCCCATTGCATTGCACCGTATCAATCATCTCCCGATGTCTTAATCATGTATCACGCTAATATTCCGTTCCACAACTGAGCGATTTTTAGCGAACTGTCCACGGAAGTATTTCGGAACAAATTCGACTTGCGTACCAATTCTTAAAAGCACTCTCGAGTCTTCTGGCTTTGAATCTATAGGCGGCGGTATCACTTAACATCAGATACGCTTCCGGCCCATATTATAAAAAAATAAACGGCCGTCAATCTCCCGAATCCCGACCTACCCCTGTGAGATGCGTACGAACTTCTATCTCGTTTATGTACGAATAAATAACTTTATCATTTTCTCGGACGTTTAACACTCCGTTGTTATTTATATTCCTGTCAAGAATTATTGACCAACAATAAAATATATCGACGTAAATAGAATGCAGGAGATTACTCTTAAAAGAATGCCTTGTAAATAATTGCGTAATCGATTCATCATATTTACATAACTATTCTTACTGAAAAGCACTCTTGTACTTTCGAGCTGGCACACTCCATGGGAGGTTCATTATGTCAGTCGATAACAATATAACGAATTTTATGTTTGTTCTCACAATGATTATTCTTCAAAATCGACCGTTGAAACAGCTTTTCTCTTTAGGCCTTATTGTGATTCGATTTGCTTTAGTCGCTTTGTAGCTACAACGAACGAGATCCCTTTATTCGCTCCTGTTGGGGCCCTAACGACCTCGAATTTAAATCAAGAAAGGGCAAGAAAGGAGTCGCGCAACTGGATATTCGACCCTAACGCCCTTCACCCGTTTTTACCTTTTACAAGACGCGCTAGGTTTAACGGTAAAGCGGCGTCACTATGGGCACTACAACCCCGCGCCCCTGTCATTTAGTCGACTAATAACCGCCGAAGTTCATAATTTATAAGGCGGTGCATGTGACCGCTTTTTACCTCTCCGTCGCCGACGTCTGGGAATCCGCAACAAAGACCGAGCGAGATTCCGTTTTGCATTCCGCGGGTATTCTTGTGCGACGATTGCCTCCGTTGTTTCCAAATCAAAATTTGCACTGAATCGGATCAGCGATCGGCATAAATAAAATCTATGTCGCTACGTATTTCACAAAACTACTGCTTAAAAGTTTAATCGGGTGTCGGCGAGCTTTTGTTTTATATATTATGGATGTCGTGTCGTCTCCGGCGAAATCAGTCGAAGCTCGTCCGTTGAATGTGACCTACTTTCGATACACTACCCCAAAATCATTTCAGTAATTCTTCGATGTTTAACTCTTGGTTTTTTAGCATCATCGAACCCGTTGCATTCCCGAGTTTACGATCATCTCGGCTGACCGACGGCTGACAGAACGATCGTAAAAGATCAGATTTTATTTCTTATTGTTCACCTTTCGCGAAATCTAATTGAAGTTGGCGGCCAACGTTGCCTTTACGCGTTTTTAATTTTACTGCTGCACACGTCGAGTTATACTCTGCGGTAATGACAACGGGCGTGAATTCGTTCATTACTTTTTATCACTTCTTAAAGGATTTAATCAGTTCGCGTGATTATATCGTCTGTCGAAAACGCACCGATCGCGAACTCTTGGATTGGACGCGCCCTTGCTTTCCACTTTTTGCTTGATAATTCCGATAATTCCAACATAAATCAATAATTCGAGAAGAATGGGCTCTATAGTATTGCAATAAGACTAGCATATCTACCCAAATGAGGCTCATGATGTGTTTTCTTCGTTTATCTTGAAACTCGTTTGGAGGTTGTCAACTTTGCGATACGTGTTTTATTGCTACGGGCTTATCATCAATTTGTTAAGAATCGATATAAATTTACTATAATTGGATTTCATTTGTAATTCAAGTCCTTAATTTATTCTTGCGTATGAACGTTATCATTCATTTATTAACACATCATGATCACAGAGGATTAAAACATTAACTTTTATGAAAGATTACGCCGTCTTCAACCTTTCGGACATAATAAAAAGAACAGAAATAGCCACGAGAAATGTGAATAGAATGTTCCAGCAATAGGCCTACAATTTAATGTTGACCCGGGCTCATATCGTGAGTCACTTTGTATTCGCCACGCGCGGGGCTGCGTCACACGCCTATCGGAAACGCTAACTGCTGCGACGGGTATAAACGACTTGTTCAAAACATTTATCATATTCACAGCATTTTGCATGAAATACCTTTTAGTACACGTTTTCCGTTCTCTGCTCGTCACCGGAGAAGATTTAAGATTCAGTATGAAACATAAGACTTTCTTTGAATTTGCTAAGCTGATTTCGTCTTCAGCCCTTCGCCCTAGCATCACTGTAATCGCTATCAAATCTAAAAATATACTATATAAGAACTGAAAACATATATTTTTGAAGATATAACATCTTTTGGCGCGTTAGGGAAAAATGATGAGAGTAAATTTTACCGATGCGCACGCACACCGTCACAAAAACCGACACCCTGAAGATCTCAATTACTTTAAGTACAAAAACTTTCAATGTATTAAATACCTTTTTTTCTATTGTAAGTGACGTTTTTTCAACATACAGAATAAAATCTTGTTACACCTAAGAAGTATAACTTCTAACAAACGTTTTTAATTTTTTTAATATAGAACAGGGGCTAAACGGGCAAAAGGCTCACCTGTTGTTAAATGTTATCCATGGACACCAGAGGGCTCGAAATCCGTTTTATATGAATTTTACAAAGAGAGTGAACGTTCTCTAAGAATAATCAATACGTCAATTTATAAGAAAATGCGATGTTTGTACAACAATGAGATGCCATTTGAGTTGGTTGTAAACATTTTTTGCGTATTTGTAAAAATATGTTATAAAGGTCGAATAGAGATTAAACAGCAATAACGTTATTGCGTTGCCATTAAAATGTAACTTGAATGGTTTTATAGGTTGAATTATATTTATAAATGGTTTTTTTTCTTTATTTTCAGGTAAATATACTTATGACTTTTCCAAGGCTGTATCGGTACAGGTAATTTATTAAATAAACTTTTAATTTGTGAATAGCCGCTGTCATTACTTGCTTTGACTGCGATACGATTTTTATTGAGTAGGCGTGGTGTTTAAGTCAAGGTGTTTTCAGTTTTGTGCAACTGACCTACGCGAAGCACTTTCTTCTAAACTCAAAATGTAACCGTAAGTTCTATGAGGCGGACATCGTTTCCGGCGCCTGTGACGTCACACCCGTCTCGCCGGTCGCCGCCCCTACTACGTAACCTTGGCGCAGATGCGCTCACGATCGCACAACGCTTTCGTTTTCATAGCTTCATAGGCTCTGTAAATGAGATTTCGCATTAGTGCCTTTTTATCTTTATTTATTTAACATATAACTAAAATCAATTGTCTTGTATTGTTTATAACTATAGTCTTAGTGTTACCGCGTCTGTCCCTATCCTTGTGTTAGCTTCAATTTAAAATTTGCTTAAAAACAGTATTAGGGCCTAGTGCGTGCCTCGATCCCTCTGCGTATTCGAACGGATGTAGAAATTATACAAATCGAATTCCACTTATTGCGAAATAAGAGCAAAATCTCTGGTAATTTTTCACACGATACACAACAGCATAGTTGCCCTAAGCGCGCCTTGCGAGGTGATCGAACTCGCAGCCTGTAATTTTGGACCGCAAAAGGAACAAAACGTTCCGAGATCGGTGATTAAAAACCTTTGTCGGGTCTACTAATATTTATATTTTCGCAATGCGCCCGACATCTAATTGGTCGCTCATATATTTGAAGTGGGCTGAGCTCGCGGCGCCGCTGACCACCGACGCTTCATTAGTTTTCCTGGTAGTCAAATCATAAAACACTCGAAATTTTTTATGTCCCGTCGTATATGTCAAAACGTGACCCGAACAAGCCGACAAGGAAGCCGATGGAATAAACCAATCCCTACTACCGCATCAATTGTTTCCATTGGATCAATATACTCGCTAAAAATACTTGATAAATTATCGCAGGTGGTACGTACAACTAGTTTCAACTGCGCGTTGGTAGTACTCTGATTGGCCCAAGGTCTGGGATATTGAACCTGGCCGGTGCAACAGCACGACAAGGTCCAACGTGAAAGAGACGGCTGCACTATCACTCATTGTTATGGGGGAAATGTCGTGACCACACGCGCTGCATACGTCGACCGCGTACGACAAAACCTGCGATTAGAAGTCGCAGCCCAGCTTGTATGAAATTCGTTCATAGCAATACGCACTTCCTCAAAACTCTGATCCGATGAAATGGGATAGGAAACGGGAACGCGTTGTCGCCCTCCAGAGCGACAGGGACAGATATACACCAGCAAGTGCGCCGCAGACCGACAGGAGTGCATTGCGCTGACGCATCGCGATCGTCTGTGTACATTCGTCTTTTTTGTTGACGCTGCCCCCGCAGCTTTCGTTATTCATGTTAGTGACAAAAGGTTTCGGACGCTATTCACGCCAATATCAATCAAGAACAATTAAATTCGCCGGTCCGACCGGTCCGACTATTTGGCATTTATGCGTTCCCACGCGGGTGATGTTGTTTTAATTACGCATGGCCTTCAGGGCAGGGTGCTTACGATCCAGCGGGTCCACTGACCCACTGCCTGTGACCGGGTTCCCGTCGCGAGTGGTTTTAGCTGCGTCAGCGTCGTCACTCGCTCATTTGTATCACTCGCAAATAACGTCGATCGATATAGCAGGAAGCGGCGCAATATTTATGTAGACACGGAGCGAAGGTTAACGTCTTTAGCGTTCATTGGCATAATTAAAAATAAATAATATCGCTTTCGGAATGTGTTCGTTGCGTCCTCTCGCCCTCCTGCCGAGCGCGCGTGAACTTTTATTTTTTGAGTACATCTCATTTAGGCGATTTGAAGCTCGCGTAATATTATTTGTAACATGTGCTATCGAAATGTGACGTCGTATTCATTACGCTTCGATTGCCACGTGTGTTGTTATCTCACAACATGCTTCTAATACCTAGTAACGTGGTTCTCACGAAGCCACACTGAGTACGTTAACACCTATACCTCGCTCGGACCCGCGGCCGCACTCATTCCGACGCGGTTCTTATTTGTGCTCGGCAAACATTCCTTCAGATAAGCCATGAACGACGCGCTTGTGCTTCCCACATCTGCTCCGACCTTGGCTCCTTCAGCCCATTGTATAACCTTCTTATCAGTCACGCTCCCCTGGTGCCTCGCTCACCGAATCATACGAACTTTTCCGGTCTCGATAATTTTATCGTTCTTATAAAATACGCGCTACAATCACTTAATTAATTTAAATAGTGAAGCAATTTACTTAAATTGTCAATAGTGATCTGTTTTCAAAACGTAATTCTTATCTAGACAGCTTCAGTCACCACGTGCGTGCAGTCGTTAACATAATTACAGTTCTCAAGTGGGCCGACCCGTTTTCAAATCTTCCATATATATAATAATAGTTTGCTGCGAAACCGAAAGTGTCTCCGCGCTCCCGTCGATAATTCCGATCGTCAAAACAACAAGTCCGGTGTCTGCGATAGAGCGAAACAGGTTCTGAGCGTGGCTTAAAAAGTGAAAAGTTATCTATTGAAGGAGCTCAGGGAATCAAGTATTCGGTTGACGTTATGATATACAGGCTGAGAGGCGCGGCGGTCCTTCCGTTTATTATTCCGGCTATAAATTAAACTGCGCTCGTTAATCGGCCTTTTAATCCGTCTGGCCGTTGACTCCGCGTTGCCTGGCCTGAACGGCTCACTTATCGACAAGCGACAACTAAACCCATTCGACTTAAAATAGCTGCTCTTTCCGCGATACACAAGAGGGGAAAAGATGACAGCGGTGGTGGGCTGGTGGCCGATGACCGGCGAGTCATCGTTGTGGAATGTTGCACTCGCAGCCTCCTACAGTGTAGCCAGACCGAGCTAGCCCCGCGATCACACACGGGCCGCGGATCCGCAACACTTTATTATTCGAAACTAGATATCGACGTGAGATAATTTCGACGTTCGTTTTTGTGCGTTATTGTTAGCCTCGAATGATACACTGGTTGAATATTTAGCGATATCCGCTGACTTCACGGCTTATAAAAAATGGCGAATAATTAGTCAATAAAAATTCCGCCGATTATATACAGTGTTACACGGGTGTTACGTAAGTGGAGTAAATGACCTAAGAGTTGGTGGTCCGAAGGTCTCGGGGACCACGTGGTGCCAGCATGTGGCTTCATAGCGCTCGTTGCCAACTTAAGCGAACTAATTGTTCGAGATTAATGTAATCTATTTATTAATAGTGTGAATTGGATGATTGAATCGAGGAAGTTCCGACTTGTAATCCCGAGACATATGCTAAAATTTTACTACACATTCGTTAGGGACAATCACCATTATGCCGGACTTAAAATCGTCTCCTACACAGCTGACGGAATTTTCTGAATGCGTCGAGACCATTGTGTTTTGAATTGACTTGGGGATATTTTGGGCGCGTAGTCAGCGAGCGATGGATATCGCCCTTGACCGAGCCGTCGCCTCGGCCGCCGCGGGCGGAGTAAACAAATTGAATGAATCGCGTAGCGTATGTTGTGTACATTCATGTGTGTGCCGTTAACGCACGATAATTCAAGCACTCGAGTTAACAGTCGGACGTACAGCGGCCGCGAATGACGCATCACACAACGACCACTCACAATGTCTGTCGACAAAATTGGCTATGGTTAGGCCTTAAATATTTTTTTGCGTATTGGAACAGGAAATTAATCTTACGATTAGTTATGCTAAAATTAAACGTAATACTTAACAAATGGATGGGAATTATAAGCTTGCTTTACACAGTTACACGGTCTCAAATACTTGTGTGTATTTTATCTTGTATTATTCGTTTGTTTATCATTTTTAATGCAAGTGTGTCCGCGCGGAAACGTACTCGTCACGGCTGGCGAGGCGCCCCTCAAGACATACGGGTACCACAACCACGCGGCAAACACTGTTCCATCTCATTACAAGCCATTTCCTCCCAACAAGCATACACTAGCCCTCGAGACACGCAAGAGTTCTTCAATAAGTCCTTACTTAAGTGGGGACACTTAGCTGTGTGCCTAAGTACTATCTGGACGATACGTTATTTTTAAGGCAACATAATATAAAGAAACAATGTTCGTTAACTATAATCAATAAAACAATACACAGATTTAACTAAACACTTATGACAGTATAGTATTACGTGATAAAGAAATGCTAGCGAATACTTGTAAGTATTACGATAAGCTTGTTATATGAGAATCTTGTGACAAAAGTTTGACTCAGATTAGACGACTATTCATTATACAAAAACATTTATATACTAGATAAGGAAATTAATTTGCGCACGGTTCGTTGGCCGGCCGCGCGTCCGATCGCTGAAGGTCAAACCTTACACCACATCCTAGACGAAAGAAAAAGTGACAGAACATGAACTCAACACGAGGACAAACAAAAATGAAAGCTTATTTACTTTCATTCTAGAATACACTTTTTATCACGTCCATTTTCATTTTTTGTCCACAGACAGGTGTTTTTGCCTTTTTTATGCTGACAGTCCTTAATGTCATGTGGCATGTGCTAATCTGTGAACATTTGCATTACCAGTCTTTTCATACAACTCAAGGTAACACCTAATATAAAACGTTTTGCGTGCGACAAATCTAGATTTAGTTTGCGATTTCCTAGGCGTAGGTCATTCTCTCGGTCAAGGACCTTTTATTACTTGATCAAAACGCTGATTAAGGGTATTCACTTTAATTTATTACCAATCAATCAATCAAGTTGACAGCGAGTGTTAAAATTAATTTCGCAAATAGTATCATTGTATAAACTTATGTTTGAACCCTGAACCCTTTTGTAATTAATATTTAATTGTTTAAACACTATTACATACATACGTAATATACATTACGATGTTTTGCGTAAATTTCTAATTACTTTAATTCATAAATATTATAAAAAGTCTGGCTTCAAATGACAAAAAATAACTATAATGTTTTATGACGTAACGCGAAACACATTATCATTGAATAAGTAATAAGATTCCGAAAGGTTAAAATGGTACTAATTGCCGGTGGGTTGAGTCGTTGGAAAAGACTTAGCTTTTTTCTCGAGCTTATTTTTAGAGTTCCTAAGAACTTCTATTGATATCGCCCCAATAATAATAGACAACACCCACTTGGACCTGTATCGATGTATTTCATGAACTGCCGCGGGTATTTCTCGAATACACAAATCCTCGAACAATCGAAATACATAGGTTACCTTTTTTATTATTTTATACGATATGTTAGATTATTTTTGGATCCATGTACGACTGACCCAAGCAAAATTCCTGTAAAATAACGGCATATATCATAGAAAGAATTTGAACAAACTCTCCAACAATATAACAATATAGAACCTCAAGCAAGTCTGCGTCGCTCGTAATTTGTTTCGAACTTGGCAGGTTTTTTGTGAGCTTTGTCTGGCGAAACTGTATCGCATTATGGCTGTAGCAGTGAAGCCCTAATTAAAATGTTTGCAATCGGATATCGTGCGGTCCACGTCGTGATCACTATCAATTTTGCTTAATGGTGCATTCTCAGCCAATACTCAAACCTGGATCGCCAAGGTCGGGTCCCTTTGACCTACAAATTTCTTAGTACTTCAACAAATTAAAACGTTATATAAGGCGATTCTAATATGCCCTCAAGGTAGTTTGTTTATTAGAAAAACGTTTAAATATTACTGAGAACAAAGATGTATAATGTTCAATTCGTGCGTTTACTTATAATAACGATCAGACTAATTTTTTTCACAGTATAATCTAATTTGCTACGCGTCGCGGCTCAAATCGATACTTATGTGTTAAATTCTAGTTTTTGTTGCTTTTAAATACAAATTTTTAATTGACCTTATTTTATCGTATAGGCCCTGAGAGCAACTTCCCGTATTAATTCGACAAATTAAAAAAATAGTTATGAGCTAGTGGTATGTACTATGAACAATTTCGTAGTAGTCGGATGCACCTAACTCGAGTAAATGTCACTCGGTGAGACGCCACATTTAGTCGCTCCGAAATAGACCGCTCGCGTTCATCAACCCCTCACATTCGTCATCGCTGCTACTCAGCTGACTTTTTACATCGACCACTTTATACTAGACCGTCATTAAACAATCAACAACAGCCAGTAATGGACAGGTTGCACTACGAAATTCCTCAACCGATATTTTTTACTTGTCGCACTTTTTATACTATCAATAATTATATCGCTAATCCAAATGATTTGTGTAATTTCGGGCTGTCAAATCATAACCGAAATTAATTGAGTGTTCGATTCAAATTAAGCAGTCCAAACCGCAACGATACTGCAATTTCGACCCGTCATAATGACTGGGCAGCAAAAAGTGGCAATAAAACAACCTATTATTTAATTTT